GTAAAGGATAAGGGACAGAAGATCAGGACATGGATTCCCTTTGGAAGGTTGATTTCAGACATTCTGACAGAGAATGGTTTGGTAACTGCTCTGTATGAAGCTGGAGTTAAAGAAGAGCTTGAATCAATTGTTGGAAAATCATTGAATGCAAAGAGTCTTCAGAGGCTAAAGATTGTGGATGAACTCACTGCTGCACCCAAGAAGCTGAATATTTATGAAGTTAGTCAGAAGAGGATTCCAGTTAAAGATTTTCCACTTTTTGGTGCTGAAGAACCAAGGGATATTATTGTTAGGTATATTGATGCATGCAAAGCAGATGGAACGCCTATTTCTGCAGATATTCTGATTCGTGCTAGAGAACCAATGCCAGATGTGTATGATGAGAACATGAGGAAAAGAAAGCAATTAGAGGCAGAAGAAGCTGCTGCTCAGAAGAAGCCAAAAGTTGCTGACAAGCCACAGAAGCAGATCAAGAGAAAAGCTTCTGGAGAAGTTCCCTCTGTTCCCACCAAGCGTATAAAGACTAAAGGTACTAAATCATCTGTATCTTTTTTTTTCTAAAATTGTTATAAATTCATCAACATTTAGATCTATGCCTGAACCCCCTCCCACTCAAAATCAAACAATTTCTACTCCATCTCAAACATTTGAACCACCAAAAATTCCTACACCACCAAAATCATCTGATCCTATTTCCACTACTCCACTTAAATCTTCTGATATTCCTCAATCTGAACCAACAACAACAACAACACCAGCAGACCAAATTCCAACACCTCAAACAAAACCAACAGAACAACCTACACCACAACAACAACCAGAAATACAACAACCAGCTGCATCTGAACCGATACAATCTAATCCAGTTGCATCTGAAATTGTTGCATCTAAAGCAGTTACACCTGAACCTGTTACACCTGAACAAGTTGCATCTGAACCAGTTGTATCTGAACCACCTCCATCCAAACCTTCTGAGATTCAACCAGAACCATCCAATCCTCCTGAATAAATTTTTCCTGACTCTAAAATTTTGGATGCTCAACCTCTCAAGACTATGTTTGTTGTATCCTCTACATCTTGCACCCCAACCACATCATCTGATTCATCTGAATCTGATATCCATCCAGATTTCATCTAACCCCCTTCCCTCAGAACATTTGAATCTAACCAACCAGATTTACCCATTTCTTCTTAAACTACCATTCCTAAACCCACTCCTGAACCAAGAACATCTGAATTTGTTTCAGTTGCTTCTGCTAAACCATTTCCATCTGATCTCCTTCCATCTGGAATTGAAATAGAAAACTTTTTTGATCAACAACCTCAATCAGCTTTTGTTCCTTATCTTGTTAAGCAAAAACAATCTGCGTTTGTTCCCTATTTTGATAATGCAAAATTTGTCATACATTCCATTCGCAGAATCAAACCATTCTTTCGTATTATGCCAGCTCAGAAGAAACCAGCATATCCTAGCCCTCTAATCATTATTCTAGAATTCACCATTCCACCTCCACCTCAACCCAAGCCATTCACCCTGGAAACCCTTCTGAAATCAAAAACTAGGCTGAATGTTGATAATTTATTTGCAAGTTTTATGAAAGAAATAAAGATGCATTTAGGCTCTGTTCAGAAGAGATGTTGGTCAACAATGGATGCAAATGAATCTGATGCTATCTGGAATAACTTCATCAACAAATTCAATATTGTAGCCTCAAATCTGAAGAATGTATGTTCTGATGATGCGAAGCTCAGATTTGCTGAGACTGCTAAAAGCATGATCTGGAATGCAAAAAGATCTGAACCATTGCTTCTGAAGTATTTGCTACATAAGTGACTACTGAATATGCTTCTGAAGAAAATCCTCTGGCTATGACTATTGTGGAACATCCCTCTAGATTTATTGCTCATGACTCTGAATCTCCTATGGAAATTGACTTTGTTCCTGCTTCAGAATCTGCCCCATCTTCTTCATCTGAGATCAAGAAAGAGAATCCAGATTTGGAAGATAAGATTGCAGTTTTGGAAGCTGGACAATCTGAGATTAAGTCATGGATGGCCAAGCAAGACCAAAAATCTGAAGACATGGCACAATGGATGTCCAAACAAGATCAGAAGAATGAGAACATGGCTACGTGGATGACAAAGCAAAAAGAGTCTTCATCTGAGATCACTCACCTGTTGAAGATGATTCTGTCCAAGAAAACCTAGTTTATGTTTTTTTCTGTATCTATGTTTGTGCACATGTACTTAAATTTATCTGATGATTTGTCTGTTTTGCTCTGAATGAATGAATGACTCTGCTATTTTCTCTACATGTTTATCTTTTCTGTATTTCCTTTTATTTGTTTTTTTTTTAAGTTTTACTTTTTGATTATGACAAAAAAGGGGGAGAAAAAAAATGGATCTGACTGTTCAAATAAACTCTACCTAAATGAAAATTCAGACATATAAATTATAACTAACATAAACTCTTAGTGTTTCAGAACAATTGATAAATCTGACATATTCTTTAAAAGTAACTCTGAGACTCCCAGATCATATTTAACCTATCACACTCTGACTCTGAAACATGCAAGATCTAATGTTTGGAACATTCAGGCTCTGATTCTGAAAAGAATACTCATACAAAAAGGGAAGTTTCTATTCCTTCTTAGTATTCAATTCAGGGGGAGATTCATCATCTCAGGGGGAGTTATAATTATATTCTTCAATTGAACAAAATTTCTTATGTTTTTTTCGTCATCATCAAAAAGGGGGAGATTGTTAGAACACATATTGCTTCTTAATAATATCTCTATGTTTTGATGATAACTCTTATGAAATTTTGTATTAAAGAATTATATACTCTAAAATTTGTTTGAGAATGTTTGCTGCAGATATTAAAGTAAATATTACTCTGGAAGCAAATTAGATCTGAACATGAAAAATATGCAAGACTCTGAAGCGTTAGAAGCATCTCTTAGAAGATTCTGAACGCTGCCTCCAGAAGATTCTAAGCATTGTCTACAGAAGCATATGAAGCATTGAAGAATTCTGTATGAAGAGTTTCAAGCACAGTTATTTCAGAAGACTCTGATAGTACTAACGCTGCCAGTACTGAGGATCTGATCCCAAACTCTGCTCTGAACAATTACACGCTGAAAGCACACTTGCTGCAAAGACTCTGATTCAGCAAACTCTGATGAATATCAGAAGGCTCTGATCAATCAAGGCTCTGATACTTTGCTGAAACTTATTGAAGAAGAATTCAAAGTTATGTCTGTTGGAATGACCAAACGACTCTTTCCTCATTTATGCTAGACACAAGAACACAGACAAAAAGGATTTTTCTGTGCATTCTATTTCTAGGAAAGGTCATGTGATGTGAAGACAAAAAGGCTCAGACCTTTTTGGTACACAGCCTTCAACGTGAAAGACTTCTTGGACCTCTGTGCCTATAAAAGCAAGACTTCATTCATCTTCTTCAATTGACGAAATACTTGAAAGAATTCATAACAAGCTCTCATACAATTTATACTCACTTGCTGAATTCAATTCATAGTTCTTAAAATCTTAAGTGTAAAATCACAGTTGTGATAAAACTTTATTAGAAGCAATTTAAACACTTGTATTATTATTACATTTGATTGTAAAAGAACCTTAAGAAGATCCAGTTAGGATCAGAAGTTCTTGAGAAGACTTTGAACAGTTGTTCTTAGTACTTACTATTGTAATCAGTTGATTTAATAGTGGATTAAGTCCTTGGTTGAGAAAGGCAAATCACTCTTGATAGGGTGGACTGGAGTAGTTGAGTTCAACGAATCAGGATAAAATTCCTTGAGTTTTTATTTCTAGGTTTTTCAAAATACTTATTCAATCCCCCCCCCCCCCCCTTCTAAGTATTTCCTCACCTTCACATCTTTGGAAGGACGCCACCAACACCTATCATGCTGACCGAAGGGGTTAAAACCACTAATAACCAATAGAAGATCAACAATCAAAATTCAATCATGCTCAAAAACACGAGTTCTTCTCTACTTAAGATCTCAAACCGAATATTAATCTTCCCACTTACTAACCTCTCCCACAGAACAAACTTGTTGATTATAAATAGAGAATAGTTTAGTAATTCAAACACTAAGAGGAGTCATCCCAACCAAGAGTCGTTTTAGAAAGAGGTGCGAAGACATGAACGAACCCACTTAAACAAGCCATCACGAAACTAATCAGCGGGTCTTCTCATTTAGCTCAGAGAATTTGATTGTAATAATGTGTGTATTACTAGGATGTGAAACAAAATATATATAAAATATTAATAATTTGGTTGTAATAATGTGTGTATTACTAGGATGTGAAATAAAAAAATATATAAATTATTAATAAGTTTAGAAATGACCTTAATTGATAAAATCATGATTATATTTAAAATTTTATTATTATTATTATTATTATTATTATTATTATTATTATTATTATTATTATTATTATTATTATTATTATTGTTGTTGTTGCTGCTGCGGTGGCTGCTATTGTTGTTATTATTATTATTATTATGATTATTATAATTATTATTATTATCATCATTATTATTATTATTATTATAAAGTAAGCTTGAGCTATTCTTAAGCTAAGATTGTGATTGTGTGTCATCTATTCTTTAGGTACAAAATTTCTCTCTTTGAATATGTGAGTGGAAACCCATTAATAGCATATCATAAGACATGAATTTCATAAAATCTTAAAATCTTAAAATAGATTTTTTTTTTTTTTATTTTTTTTTGGTATGCATGAGATTGTTTTATTTTATACGTATTGTTCGACATAGTCAAATTATTGTTACATGAACTTGTATAAGTCCAACCTTAGAGTAAGTCCAACATAGATTTAGCTAAAGGTGGCGCTAACTAGATGGATCTTTCACCACCAACATAGAGCCACCTTTCATAGATTCATTTACTATAAATAAGTAACTCCACAATTCACATAACTTCATTTTCTACGTTTTGCAAAGACTTTGAGTAATGGCTAGAAATCATAACACCATAATGTTGGGTTTGGTTGTGTTTCTTCTTATACAAAGCAAAGTATATCCAAATAACTTCTCTAGTTATTATGCTATGCATGGTTTAATCTTTTATGTTATTTTTCTTATAATTTTATTAACGTGATGTTGTTTGCATGCATGCATTTGATTAAATCGTTTACGTGATTTTCTACAAATGTACAAAGATATCATTTATGGTTTATAATTTTTTTAATATTGTATTTCTCAGGCTCAGATTGGTGTAACTGCAATTGAGGCTCCAGCATCTGCACCGGCTCCTACTCCAACTCCAGTTCCTGCCCCAGCTCCAGCTCCAAGGTCAGATTCAACCCCAGCTCCTTCTGTAATTCCGGCAACTCCCGATGTTCCTGTAACTCCAGCAACTCCAGAAATTCCACCAGCTCCGAAAACGCCAGCAACACCAGCTACTCCGGCAGCTCCGGAAACTCCATCTACTCCGGCGACTCCAGAAGCCCCTGCAACTCCTGAAACTCCATCAACTCCAACAATTCCTGAAACTCCATCACCTCCTGCAACTCCAACTCCGTCTCCGTCTCCATCTCCGGCTCCAACTCCGTCTCCATCTCCGGCTCCAGTTCCAGTAAATGCAACACCTCCCAAAATTCCATCAACTCCTGCACCTCCAACGCCTCCAGTGACTCCATCAACTCCAGTGGCTCCGGACACTCCAGCAACTCCTACTCCGGCGACTTCTGATCCAGCGGTAAGGCTTTTCACATGTTGTATTTTTTAATTCAGACAGTTTTACTACAATATTTCTTCTCATGTTATCTTCGTTTAATTGAATTTCAGCATGGCACCACAGAAGGCAGTCTTAAACCAGAAGGTATTCATTCAATACAAGACATGCAACTTTATTCATAAATTCATATCACGATAATATTCACTTGATGTTTACTTGGTTAAAATTGCAGAATGTGCTCCTCGATGTGAAGATAGATGCGCAAAAACACATCACAAAAAGCCATGTTTGTACTATTGTAAGTATTGTTGTGCCAAGTGCCTCTGTGTGCCTCCAGGAACTTATGGAAACAAAGAAGTATGTCCATGCTATAATGACTGGAAGACTGAAAATGGAGGACCCAAATGTCCTTGACCATTGATTCTACCAAATTGCTTTCTCATCATGTACAATACCATGGAATTTGTTTCATGTTTCATCCAATTAGGTTTAGGTTTAGGCTTGTTCTTCCTCAAGAAATAAAAGAAAATTTTATATATACTTGTGTTGATACTTTAAAAAATATAATTAGTAGTTTAAAATTTGATGAAAATATCTAAGCTATTGAAACTAGACTTAAAAAATGGTTATAAAAAAGTTACTCCTATAACATTTTTAATGATGTGCCGATTACAATTGATTTTTATTTTTTGGTTATAGATTAAGATTGATAATAATGTATACAAATGTGTTTAATTTATAAAACATTTACATATTTTTATCAGTCACTGACATTTTTATTGTGAATAATTTACATACATTAAGATTTGATATTTTTTTATCTATAGTTAATTATAAATATAAGCTTTTTTTAGTGTGTTAAAACAAAATAAAAGTACATTATATAATTATTACATTTGAAAACAATTGACCATTTAATTTTAAATGGCAAATATACAATTATATAAATAGGAAAACTAGAGAACAAAGAATACAAAGCAAGAAATAAGAGAATAAAGCGTACAAAAAAATATACCAACTAACAAGAAGAGCATGCAAATATGGCAACAACACTCTTAGTATATCGCAAGTGTGAATATGAGTCCTACACTAAATAAAAAATTAAATATTGAATATTTTATAAGTGGAAAGACCCATAGATCAAATATTTTAAGATTTTGAATTAATAATAATGTCCAACTCATTTAAGGTAAGTGTTGAAAGTCTAATGTAATGATCCTTAAAACCCCTGGTGACCCAACAAACACCATCATAATAATAAATATAACAAATAAAACCAATCAAGTAAAACAAAAAACAATCCATCAGACTGAAAATTATGAAAATAATGAGAGAAAAAACTCTCAATACACGTGATAAATCGGCTAGAAAACACACAGTAAAATAGAATAAACCAAGTAATAAAGTTTCATCCTTAACTAGGGAACACATGCTAGATCTCCAACCACAAGAACCACCACCAACAGAACAGAGTCTTCTAGGAGAGCATCAAGAACATTTCACCACGGGAACTAGGTAAAAGACTCTCTGGCCGCTATGGATCAGACAGATGATATGGTTCTTAAGTCAAGCAGAGAAAACAGAAGAGATGGCCACTTACCTACAAAAATACCATTTTAAAGCCTAAAAATGATATTTCTTTAACATCCCTCACATTATTTAAAGAGTAAAAAAATAATATTATTATGGAAATTATAAATAACATATACAACAAAATGCCAGATCAAAGCAAGTTTATCCTTAACCATAGACTTGTCATCCAGAGAGATAAATAACTAAAGAAAAAGACATATGATCCCTAAGGAGAACAAATAACCACCACTACCACTTAAAAATCATATACCACACATTTGAAGGCACCTCACACAAGTATTATAGATGAGAAACCAACTCTACAAATTCCCTACACATAGGAGGAAAAAACCCAACATAATCAACTATAACACTGCACTTAAGCAAACTATCTCTAGTTGATAGTTTATATTGCAGAAGTTGTCAAAAAAATCACCACTTTAAAAGGGGCCCAACTAACCCATATGAAAGAATGTGTCAAGTCCTTAATCTGAGAAGAGGGACCAATATAGATATTAAGCTCAAGTTGGACAAGAAAAAGCCAAGGCAACCAATATCACCTCATCCCTAGTATGACGCCGCTACTACCTATCTCTTTACAAGGAGAGAGTCATTCACAAGATAACTAAAAGAAGGTTACCAACTGACTTCTTCTCATATACAAAAAAGATTTCCTAAACCTCATATTCTAAACCAAAGCTTTGTCCTTCCATTGACCAGCCTTACCCACATGCAATTCTTGTTAATAAGTGATACTAAAGAGTCTAGGGAATATAATCTTAGGGGGTGGATCCAATCCATGGTTCATCCTAGAAATAAGTGTGAAGAAAAGATCATACTCTTAATAATGCTATTAATAAATCAATCGGAGAAATTATCTTCTTCGGGTCCAAGAAGAATCACACATTTCCACCAAGTGGAGGCAAAACATAAACTAGTAGATCGACACCACATCTTGGATGAAACAACAAGAATGCCATGTCTAGAAGATATGATCTTACACTAGATACGTGAAGCACCCAAGACCGATGCACCTCTATTTGCTTAGATTTGCAAACATTTGACCACTTAACTCAAGTGTTATTATATATGATCGCCATCATTTTTCAGGAAACATGTGAAGCAATATGTCATGACAAAGTGTGAGACATATTATATCTTTGTGATCAAGTAAGGAAATAACGTGTAAAGGATAATGTTCCTCATTCTGCGAAACATCATGTCCTGCCCAGAAGTAGCTTAGCATTGCATAAATAACATGTTGTTTAAGGATTTGTTTCCTTATTTATCTAATCAGGTTTAACATTTTATGTGTTTTTCGGAATAATGATTTTTTTCACAAAAATATTATTACGAACAAGATTAAAATTGAGGAATTCTAATATGATAAAGATTTAATCAATCAAATATTTTCAATTAACATAATGGAAGATTGGTTGCTTGCGCTTTTGGAATATTCAGTCGTGTTCAAAGACAAAAACCATAATGGGATTTTAAGTTGGACCTTGTTGCTATTTAAGGAGGAGTTATCCATTGTAAAGAGCCATACCTTATGCAATCAAGCTAGGCGCGTGTATTCATTTTGAGTCTATTTATTTTGTTTTGTAATACTCTATTCTTGAGTCTTATTCATCTGTTAAGGAATAAATGACTTAATTTGTAATTTCATTTCATCATTCTTAAAATATTGTAACTCTTCAAACAATAAGAAGAGTGTTTGAGTGAATGTGAGATGGAGCTCATAATCAGGGGAGTCCTGAATAGAAATTCATGGGTAGTATTAGGAAAATATGCATTAAACTAGGAGAGTCTAAATCACACCAACTTGTGCTTTTGAATATTAATAATGAATTTTCTTTCATTGAGTTAACGCCTTGCATACATAGGTCGATTTGCACCGAAATAGGTTACCAATCCATGTGTCATTTTATTTACTGCCTTTAATTTTCTTATTACACATTACACTTGTAATACAAATTTTTACGACATTATCTCTGACATATTTGTAACCATAGAACAAAATTTCAATTGGCATCAGTGCAAACATCCCGTTCTGGTAGGATGAGCTCTAGGGAATCTGTATATTCTGCCATAACAAAAGGAGAAACATGTATTTCTGCCGCATCTTGCAAAGAGTTGGCAGCATTAACATCTTTATGCATCATAACAAGCTCCTTTTAGAGGGTAATACACCTTAGTTCCATAACTTTGGCCTTCCCTTTCCATGTATCTTTTTACTTGGAGGGATTACTCGGGGCCAAGGCATCTCCCCGTCCAGTAGAGACGAGAGAGAAGATAGAAAAAACTTTGAACATGTTATGGGTGAAGGCGCACGAAACACAAGAAATGGGGGGATTCGAATTGGGTTTTAAGTATGATAACTTTTTATTTCCTAAAACAAACGCAATAATATCAACAACAATAATAAGAACAATGATAACATACACAAGAATTTTATCCTGGTTCAACGTTAACTAGGCTACATCCAGTCTACCCACCTGGGTGATTTCGCCTTAGACAAGGACTTAATCCAATAATAAAAATTGATTACTAATGCAATGACAACCTGTCACTGATTTCTTAAGAGTCTGACCTACCCGATCACTTAAGAAATCCTTACGGTTATTGACTTCTAAAAATCATGACCTACTCGGTCGTATAAGAATATTTAACCCTCAATGACTACCCGTCAATGACTTCTCAAGAGCCTGAGCAACCTGGTCACTGGAGGAATATAACCAACTGGGTTAGAATAATTTTTGTGTTTACAGAGTTTGCTTCTTAATAAGTTGATAACACATGTATAAACATCAGATAAATATACGTAAACCATATACAATGAAAGTTCTAAGTGTTTCTCTCTTTGTTGTGTTGTGGTGTTTCTAGCTTCCGCATCTGCGAAGACTCACACATATGTTTTTCCACACACACACACCTGCAACCACTTATTTTTCTCCTTTATATATTCTTCTCTCTCACACTTTCTTCCTCTTTCATATTCTTCTTATTTATAATATATAGAGATCCGTTGAAGTATAGATCCGTTGGAGAATAGAAAATGAATTGTCCTCAAAGTGTTTATTGTATAAAGGCCACTTCATATGTAGCAATTGAGTGGCGCTTTTAGTAGAGAGTTGTTGATGATGAGACGTGAGAAGTTTCTTTACTTTGAAAGTAGAATTGATTTTTGTACTTCTATCACATCAAACAGTATTGACCCTTAATTCAAATCTTCTAGTCACATGCTTCTTTATGATAATGGATTGAAGCTTGAGTAGAGATCAAAATTTATCATTATAAGGAAATCTCTTTTTGATTGCATTTTCCTTGAGTATATTACTTGTCATAATTAGAGGCTTCATATAAAAGATGAAGTGAAGATTAATCATAGTCCAAAGCCTAAATGATATAGACTAAAAAGTCTATTTAGAGTGAGGCTTGAAAGAACTACAGTCCAGAGTAAATGTGAACCAGAAATACATAAGCATTTACTAGTTTGTTCAGATGCTTTGCTTTGCAAACTTTGCTTTCTTCTGTGTTGATTATCATAGTTGACTTCTTCTGAGTCTTCAACTATTAGATTTAACTTCATACTTAGCATTAGAAGTTTCTTGATCATAATTTGCTTCACTCAACAGTTGCTAAATTCATTTAGATTATGTTCTAGCCTTTGAGCTTCTGCACACTTAAGAAAACAGTTATTGCATCAAATTGTTCTTCTACACTTTTTTATCATCAAAATATAAAGGTATGTAGATGTATAACTAAACTTTTTCTTATAATCTTCCCCTTTTTGATGATGACAAACAATTGTATTTTGATGAACAATTTTTACTTTGATA